TTTTTTGTGTGCTTTTTAAAAAATCAGGGCACCCATATGATAAAGCAGGCTCTTTCTTGTCCCTAGTATATCGTCATATACCCCTGGAGGATGCACTGGTGCTTCTGGAGGAAGAATTTAGGAGGTTTTTGACTAAGCAGGAGCAGCAGGAATGCGCTGGGATTTCTCAGAGGGCTGGAGATCTGGTAGATGACTTCCTGGCACGGGAGTGCCTCACTAGCTACTCCGTTCCGTTGGGCATTCTGCATCTTCTGTTCCTGTTAAGCGAGGGAAAACATTTGTACAGTGATGAGCTGAGCCTGATCATTGACTACCTGAAGACCAGGAAAGGACAACTGGAAGGTATTTGGCATTGTCCCCTTTATTTTCACATTTTAAATCCCAGAAAATCCTCTTTCCGTAAATCCACATATGGAAGAAAACTAAACATATTTCATTTAGTGAGAGAATATGCTTCTGTGACATGTAGGTAACACAAAGGTGTCTGATTTGAATGTGTTCCAGAAGCCGAATTTTCTTTTGAGCCAGATTTTTAATGTGTAAATAAAATGACCTCTATATATAGATGGACTTGTAGGAAATAGTTCTTTTCCCTATCAGTTTATTTTCCTGGTTCTAGGTTTCAGTTTTTTGTTAATTGAGACATTTGAAAGATGACTTTTAAGTATATGGTAATCATGAAGAAATAGTTCCTAATCTTGAAGATGTTAAAGAACATTCCAGTTCCAAGTTGAACTCGTTAAAGGAGCAACTTTCTATTTTGTTCGTTTTAGGTTAAATAGGTGAGGAAGACATAGTCACTTGTCCCTTTAAGAAAAGTAGCTGTGTTTATAAGACTGTGTTAAAGCTTTAAAGAAATTGTTCATCTTATGAAATGTAGAATGCATTTTATTTTTGTACAATTTCATTATACTCACTTTCTCAGGGTGGGCGGAACCTGTAAGCTTAAAACACAACAGTTTTTGTTTCTTTTTGATTACAGAAATCTCTATGTCAGTAAAAGTGATGAACTTTCTCGAACAGCCTGAGCTGTTCTTTGTGTAACTTGCTGGCCTTGACTACAGACTTCTGGTGACCATTTGTTTTCTCCCTTTTTCCAGGGTTTGAGATGCCAGATCCTTCAGCCGGCAGTGATCGTTCCTCATTTCAAAGCAGGAATAATACCCCCATTGTGGGCAGACCACCTCCACTTCTTCCAACCCCTGGCAAGAAGTCCTTGCTAAATGCTGCTCCCCCAGTTCCTGTCAAGTCCGGTTTGTTAGGTGATAGGCCGAGAAGAGGTCTCCTTCCCCTTCCAGGTCAGTACTTCCCTCTAGGAACAAGATAGATTAGTAGCTCTTCTGCTTTTGTGAGAGCTCTCCTGAGAAGGCAAGACAGTTTAGAGCAATGGCAGTGTGTGTTGTCCTATTTTTGATGAATGTTATGATTTCAGAAGACTGGAAGACACAGTTTCGGCTTTAGTGGGTGCATTTCTCTTGAATGAGCCACCTAAGTTTTATTACAGGGAGAAGTTTAGAGGAATTGTTCTACCAAGGCTTTTGGCCACAGTTATAGCCACATAAACTGAGTTCTCATAATAAGCATTCTGAATTCAACAGTGTTTTTGAGGCTTTTTAATTTTTTTTTTCTGGTAGTGACATCTGTGTAAAATGAGGGAACCCAACTGTGTGATGGGAACCCCATCTGTGTGATGGGAACCCAACTCAGATTTGCTTAAAACAAGAGAAAGACTTCATGGGCTCCCCTAACTGGCAATTCCAGGAGTTGAATAACTTCAGGCATAATTGGATCCTGTTGTTCAAATGAGCTCCTCAGACAGCCATCTCTTACCTTTGGGAGCAGGCTTGAGTGGAGTCTCAACACTTGGAGTATAGACATCCAGTCAAGCTTAGTTTCCAGCCTCGTGTCATACTTATACCTCGGTGGGAATCGGTGCTCCCAGTGTCTGAGGCTGTTTTGGCTCTTGAGGGTAAAGAGTTCTAGCACCCTCTGTAGGCATCCAGGGTGTAGCTTCTTCCACTTACTATTCTCTCTGGTCTTCATCTTCCTAATATTTATTGGCATCTCTCATACACTCTTGTCTCCTCTCCTGTTCTTCTTGTGTACTGGCAGTGGTAGTGGGAAGGAACTGGATGAGAGCATGTTTTCAATCTGCCATGTTACAAAGGAAGTTGCCAGTGAAGTGCTTGGGGGAAGGTGGCTTTTTCACCTGGACCCTACATAAAATTTAGACTTGGGTATACCTTTGTGCATGCTATGGTTTGAATGTTTGTCCTCTCCAAAACTCATGCTGAAACTTAATCCCCATTGTAACAGTATTAAGAGGGTGGGAAATCTGACTATGGTATTTGAAAGGTGGGGCCTTTAATAGGTGGTTGGGCCATGAGGACTCTGCCCTTATGAAGGGATTAGTCCATTCATGGATTAATGGGATAATGATCAATAGTTTATCATGGGTGTGGAACTGGTGGATTTATAAGAAGAGGAAGAGAGACCTGAGCAAGAATACTTAGTTCCCTTGCCAAACAATGCCCTGCACCACCTTGGGATTCTGCAGAGAGTTCCCACCAGCAAGAATGCCCTCACCAGACGCACCCCCATAACCTTGGAATTCCCAGCTTCTAGAACCTTAAGAAAAAATTTTTTTTCCTTTATAAATTACCTAGTTTCAGGTATTGTCTTACAAGCAACAGAAAGTGGACTAAGATAGAAAGTTGGTACTGAGAAGTGGGGCTGTTGCTAATAATGAATACTCGAAAATATGGAAGCAGCTTTGGAACTGGGTAACGGGTAGAGGCTGGAAGGATTTGGAGGAACAGGCTAGAAAAATCCTAGAATGCGGTAAATAGAGCATTAAGGGCAATTCTGGTGAGGGCTCAGAAGACAAAGAGACTAGAAAGAGTCTAGAACTTCTTGGAGATTATCTATATGGTTGTGACCAGAATGCTGACAGAAATGTAGACAGTAAGGGTCATTCTGATGAGGTCTCAGTTGGAACTGAGAAACAAGATATTGGAACCTGGAGTAAAGGCCATCTTTGTTATAAATTAGCAAAGAACTTGGCTGAACTGTGTATATTACCAAGGGTTTTATAGAATGCAGAGCTTAAGAGCAATGAACTAGAGTATCTGGTGGAAAAAATATTTAAACAGCAAAACAATCAGGCTGCTGCATGGCTACTTTTAACTGCTTATATTAAGCTGCAAGAGGGAAAAATGACTTAAAGAGGGAATTTATAATCAAAAGGGAAGCAAAGCGGAAAGATTCGGAAAACTCTCAGTCTAGCCTTGTAAAGAGTGAAAAAGGGTATTCAGGAAAGGAAATCAAGGGTGTAGCCCAGTGACAATTTGCTAAGGAGATTAGTACAGAGAGAAAGGATCACCAAGAGAATAGAAGAAAAACCATGAAGGCATTTCACAGATCTTTGAGGCTGCCCTTCCCATCACAGACCCAGAGGCCTAGGAGGGCAGAATGTTTTGGGGGAGGTGCTGAGGGTGCCCTCCACAGGCTAGCTACCCAGGGCCACCTTGGGTTTCTGCTCCCTACATTCCAGTGCAGTGCTCCTTGGCTGTCCAAGCTGTGGCTCAAATGGCCCCATGTGTGGCTTGACCTGCTACCCTAGAAAATACCAGCTGTAAGCCTTGGTGGTGTCCTCATGGTGTTAAGTCTGCATAGTTGCAGATTGCAAGAGCTGTGGAGGCATGGCAGCCTCCACCAAGATTTCAAAGGATGTACAGAAAAGCCTGGGGACCCAGGAAGAGGTTTGTCACAGGGGTGGAGCCACCACAGAGATCCTCCACTAGAGCAATGCTGAATAGGAATATGGAGGGAATGGGAATGTGGAGCTGCCACAGAGGGTTTCAATCAGGTCAGTGCCTGGTGGAGCTGCTGGGGTGGGACTGCCACTGAGACTCCAGAACTGTAGAGCTACCAGCATGCAATGCCAGCCTGGGAGAGCTCTAGTCATGACACTCCATGCTGAGAAGAGAGCTGAAGCATGGGCTGAGTCTAGCAAAGCTCTGGGGGCAGGGCTGCCTCAGGCCTTGGGGGCACAACCCCCACACAGTGTGCAGAGGATGCTTGACATGGAGTCGAGGGAGATTATTTTCCAGATTTAAGATTTAATGTCTGCCCTGCTGGGTTTCAGACTTACTTGGAGCCCTTTACCCCTTCTGGCCTGTTTCTCCTTTTGGAATGGGAATGTGTAACCTATGCCTGTCCAACAATTGTATGTTGGAGGTATATAACTTGTTTTTATTTCAAGGGCTCACATACAAGACTTTGGATTTTGTCCTTTTGAGTTGATGCTGAAAGAAATTAAGACTTTCGGGCTATGGGGATGGAATGCATTTGTATGTGAGAAGGACATGAGTTTTGGGGATCCAGGGGTGGAATGCTATGGTTTGAATGTTTGTCCCCTCCAAAACTCATGTTGAAACTTAGTCCCCATTGTAATAGTATTAAGAGAGTAGGAAATCCGACTATGATATTTGAAAGGTGGGGACTTTAAGAGGTGATTAAGAAGGGATTAACCCATGCATAGATTAGTGGATTAATGGGTTATCATGGGAGTGGGACTGGTGGCTTTATAAGACGAAGAGAGACCTGAGCAAGCACCCTTAGCCCCCTCACTATGTGATGTCCTGTGCTGTGTTGAGACTCTGTAGAGTCCCCACCAGCAAAAAGGCCCTCACCTCATCAGATGTGCCTCCTCAACCTTGGACTTGTTAGCCTCCAAAACTGTAAGAAATACATTTTCTTTATAAATTACCCAGTTTCAGGTGTTCTTTTATAAGCAACAAAAAATGAAGTAAGATAGTGAATAAGACTCAAATATTGCTTTGACCTTTTATGTGAGCAGCGGTTATTTTCACTAAAAATATTTCCCATGAACACAACATTTCTACTTTGGCCATTATTGTAGATCAAAATAGAGGGAATGTGCCCTCTTGCTTTGGTATCTGTACATGTGCATATCTTTTATTGTCAAGGTTAGTCTGTGCTGAAAATCCACACCCCTAGGGGTGAATATTTCTGGGTCCACTCTTCTTTTGACCTATTGACTTTTGGGATGAGTGACAGTCTAGTTCTGCGTCTTCTCTGTCCCATCATAGCCTGTGCTTCCTTCTGCCTCGCCTGTGTTCTTTCCCTTCCTTCTGCTGCGCTCACCCTTGCTCCCTGGCCTCAGGGCTCAGCCCACCCCAACTCCCAGCTGTCTCCAGAGCCTCACTCATGTGGGGTGTGTCTGCTACAGCAGTCCCCTTCTTGGTTCACCCACAGACCCATCGTGACCACTTGGTTTTTTCCTGTGAGAAGTGAGTGAATAATGGGGAGAAAGTTCAGAAAGAAATCTTTGTGCTCTGATTTGCTTCCCATCCTTGCCATTAGTTTAAAAACAAAACTCAGACCTTCACAAAGGGCCAGGTGCTTGCTTCGGGACCTTGGCAAGAATGGCAAGGAAATGTCCTATGCAGCAGGGCGAGGGCTGTGCAGCCTTCCTGTCCAAGAGACACATGACAGGGTGCTGGACAGTGGGCCAGGCCTCTGTGGGCAATGTCTAAGCCACTGATCTGGATGGATGGATACATGGATGGATGTTAGCCTCTGAGGAACGGAATACCTCAGGTATGTTATAGGTTAGCTTTATGACCTGTCTGAGACCCTCACTGCATTTGATGTTTCAGAAGACGTATTCCTAGTGTCAAAATAGCTTAAAAACAGAATTTTTAGGACCAAACCCACTTGTGAGAAGGTGAGGTGTAAGACCAGGATGTTAGGACAGGCTCGGACTAGACTAGGGTGTGCAAACTTTTTTTTAAAGGGCCAGGTAGTCAATATTTTAGGCTTTGTGGGTCAAGAAGCAAAACCAATGATGTTATGTACATGCTTACATAACTGTTTAAAATGCATCCATTTAAGGGCCGAGCCTGTGGCGCACTCGGGAGAGTGCGGCGCTGGGAGCGCAGTAGCGCTCCCGCCGCGGGTTCGGCTCCTATATGGGGATGGCCGGTGTGCTCACTGGCTGAGCGCGGTGCGGCCGGTCTCAAAAAGGACAAAAAAATAAATAAATAAAAGTAAAATAAAATAAAATGCATCCATTTAAAAATGAGATAATCATTCTTAGCTCAAAGGCCATAACCAGCTAGAAGGTGTGATTTGGTCCCTGGACTGTAGTTTGCTGACCCCCAGACTAGACCACTGAGAATCTGTCTGGGTCCAAAGAAGACTTGGTAGAGCTTTTAGGAGCTAAGGGTGAGCCCAGTGTAAGTGGCAGGTCACTCCCTGCTTAGCCCCTTTCTAAAAATGAAGAAAGATCATTTTGGGGAGTACAACTAGAACTGGGTTCATTGTGTGTCTTCCTGTTACATTTTGATTTTTGTTTTCTGCAGGCCTGGTCAACCCCAGTCTGTTTCCCCCTCCCCTGCCTCTAGCAGGCCCCTCCAAGATGCCTGCTCCTTTGGGATGCCCCTTTCCCAAGCCTACCAAGCGTCCACTACTTGGAGAGAAGCCTGGCCTTTTAGGACCACCACCAGGTGAGTAGCGAGGTGAGCTGTGAGGGGCATTCTAGGTTAGTGCTGTCCAATAGAACTTTCTGTGATGATGGGAGTGTTCTACAGTTGTGCTGTCCAGTACAGTAGCCATTAGCCACATATGGCTACTGAGCACTTGAAGTATGGATAATATGACTGAGGAACTGAATTTTCAATTTAAGTTCATTTTTAGTTAATTTAAATGACCATAATCACATGCGGCTTGTGGCTACCATAACGCACAGCACAGTTGCAGGCTATTGAGGGTATCAGGAAGCTCTAGCAATAGGTAGCAAGGTGTATTATACTTTTTTTTTTTTCCTTTTTGTCTTTTTTCGTGTCCGGCAACGGATCGCAACCCTCAGTGTCGCGCCTGTACCGGACTGGACCGGCAACGGGATCGCAACCCTCGGTGTTGCCCCTGCACCTCGCTCAGCCAGTGAGCGGGAACCGGTCTGTATGTGGGATCCGAACCCTTGGCGGGAGCACCGCCGCGCTCCCAAGCGGCGCACTGTAGCAGTGCGCCACCGGGCCGGCCCGTATTATACTTTTACAGGTAGAAATCTATTATTTCTTAGTCTTTTCTTCCCTCCCTCCTCTTCTTTAAAGTTGCAAATGTACTATGAAGAGGAAATAATTGTATCTCTTTCATAAATGGATATCATTATTAAGTGTTGTAAAATAGAAGATAACCATAAACACACACACACACACACACACACACACACACACACACAAACACACAGCAGTATTACTAAATTCCAGCCAGATATTTTTGCCTGTCTGTCTCTTAAGCTTAAGGCTTGCTATCTGCTGGTTAAAAATGGGGATTACTAAGGGTCCGGGAGGTGTTAATGGTATGCCAACAATATTAGAAACTTCTTGACTGATTCAGAAGGATTACAAGCAGTTGGCAAAGGGAGTTTCTTCTAATGAGGGTGCCTGTCATTTAATCATGTGCCTGTGAATCCCTACAGTTGTTTGGAGGTGTGTATGCCCAATTTCTGCTTGGCTCAGGGAAGCACACAGCTCGTCCTCTCCCTGGGAGGAGGACAGGGGACTGATCTGCCATATTTAAGGTACCGACAGATTGATACCCAGCCCTGGGTCGGAACCTGCACAGGAATAGAGGCTTTCTGTCTTCCTTCCCAGCACAGACCTGGCCAGCTCTCATCTTCTCAGATGCTGCCTTCCCTACTGAGGAGATGAGGCCAGAGGCCTCCAAGCTGACCCCGCCCCCCAAGGCACAAGGGCAGACCTTCTTTGGCTAGTCTCCCAGGGCGCTGGTAACAGTTGAGACTGCAGTCTGGCTTGGGGTAGAAGGTGGCCAAGCAAGCATCTTTCTGACTTTATTTGCAGTCATTCAGGCCTATGAAGCCTAGAGAAAGGGACTACCCAGACTTCCTCTTAGTTCACTTGAGTTCTGTTTTGAGACTTGAGTCTGAAGTCCCAACTATTAGGTAAGTGGGCCTTTGTCCTCTCTGTTCTTCATGAAAACAACATTTTTCATTATACTTAATACCGTTATAAAGTTTCAGTCCTCTATTTTTTAGTCAAACATACTTCCAGGAAATATATGTTGCTGTGGTTGTGATATAAAGGCTATACACTACAAAATGGTGGCAAGATATGGAAGAAACATAGGTCAGTGATTGCCACCCTCCCAGGGCCCCAGATAATCTAGTTTTGAAGATCTTCACTTGACAGACTGGAGTCACATAACCACCCTTTGGGAAATTTGAAGAATTTTCCTTAACCCTAAGATGGGCCTCCATAGTTTCTGAGGGCCCTCACAGCCCCTAAATTCTAGGACTAATATTTGGGGGAAACCGTTTTAAAAAACAAAGACGGAAACCAGAAGCATGCCTGTACAAGATGTACCAGTAATAGTTAGCATGCACTGAGTTCCCATTATGTGCTAGGCATTGACATAACTTCATTTAGTCCTTATAACAACCTGTGAGCTAGGTACTGCGATGACCTCCATCTTCTAGATGACTCACCTACAACACAGAGGACATTAACCTGCCCAAGGTCACACAGTAGTACCTGGTGGAGCCAAGACTGCACACTGGCCATGTGACCCTATGCCTGTGCTTTTAACCACCACGCAGTCTCAATGGCACATAAATATTATCAAGTTGATGTTGCTTTAAAAGAAGTCTTAGATTTTTTTCTTCGATTTCAATCATATCCTTCCATCCACAGCTCCCCTTTGACAAAAGGCCAAAAGCATTTTCATATCACTCACCTGTCTGATTCATCACAGTGTAAGGGCTGTAGAAGTTCAGAGGGAAGGAGTGATCATGGTTAGTGAGGGTCTGGGTGAAGCCACCAAAGCTTAATGGGCAAGCGGGCCTTGGAGGAGGGGCAGCATGACTTCCTGCTTTTAGAGGGGGACCTTCAGGTGAAAAGTGTTAATGACTCATTGAGAGAGGGTGTGGGGTAGATGTCCCATACTCCTCCTCTGTAAAATGAGGGCTGTCACCAAGATTAAATGAGGTCATATGAATGAAAATCTTTAGAGATGTGCACTGGTATCTGTGCTGATGCTGCAGCTTGGTTAATCTTATTCTGCCTGCAAAGGCTGGTGTGGCTAGGGGACTTGGGTCGAGCTGGGTGCTTGGACATGAATTGACAGTGCTGTGTTCCTTCTCTTTGCAGTTCTTTTGCAGTCAGTGCTGCCCAAGCGGGCAGTTCAACCTGTGTCTTTGCTGAAGTAAGGGAGCTCCACTGAGCCTGGAGAACAATGTGGCTGATGCCCAGATGGCAGCTTCACCCTCCTGCAATGATAAGGCCCCTGCCTGGCCTGTAGTACTCACGTCCAGGCCGTTGGTACAGATATGGTTCCCCTCTGTTTGATCCATGGTCCCATGGAAACTTTTTCACCTTTGGAGTTTTTTGGTGCCAAAGTAGATATTTGTGGAAGGTCATTGTTATAGACATTGGACCTTGAAGTTGTTCGATTATATGCATATTAAAATACAATAAAAACTTCTAGCTTTTACATATTGGTTGTCCCCTTTTTATTTTGGAATAATTTTGGATTTACAGAAAATTTACAACTATAGTATAGGGAGTTCCCTATACTATATATTCAGCTACCCCTGAATGTTAACATCTTATATAATCATGGTACATTTGTCAAAATTAAGAAATTAACATTAGTATGGTAATTTTAACTATACTGCATACTTTATTCAGATTTCACCAATTTTTCCACTCATGTCATTTTGCTGTTCCACGGTCCTATTCTGTATACTATGTCGCATTTAGGCCTCTTTTTCTACTTTTTTACTGTGAAGCATTTTAAATATTAAGAAATTTGAATAAGTACTGTAGGGAACACCCTCATATCCTGTATCTAGATTGAACAATTAACATTCTGCTATTTTTTTAATGTACATATGTCTATGTAAATATAATTTTTTCTCAACCATGAAGGTAATTGCAGAGTTTATTATATCTCACTTTTAAATACCTTAGCATGCATCTCCTAAGAATGGGAACATAGTCCTACATAATTATGATATTATTATCACACCATAAAATTAAAAATAGGTCTGTAATATCTAATATATAGTTCCAATATTTGAATTTCCCCAGTTGTCCCAAGAATGCCTTTATGACTTTTATTTTTTTTAACAAGGATTTAATTAAGGTTTATGCATTGCATTTGACTTTTATGTCTTTAGTTTCCTTTCATGTAAATCAATCTTCTTACCTCTTTATTTTTTCCCTCATGATACTGACTTTGAGTTCAAGCCAGTTGTCTTGTAGAATATCCTACATTGGGATTTGTCTGATCGTTTCCTCATGTGTTGCTTAACTATTCCTCTGTTCCCTGTATTTTCTGTATCCTGGAAGTTCGGTCTAGAGGCTTCATTAGATTCAGGCCATATATTTTTGGCAAGGTTATTTCATGGGTGGTGCTGTCCCCTCATGTTGTACCATATCAGAAGACGCATAACTGTTGTCCTGCTGGGAGTGCTCCTATAGATGGTCACTTGGATGAGGTGGGGACTGCCTGGTACAGTTAGGTTCCGCCCACCATCAAGCAAATATCCTGTTCCCCACCAACTTTTACCTAATTGTGTACATTGATGATTTTCACCTGACTCAGATTATTATGTTGGCCCTTCCTCCCTTTTAACTGAGGTATAACATCTTAAATGTTCAGTTTTGAAAATTATATCCTTGTAACCTCCACCCAGAACAAGGTATAGATGTTCCCATCACTTTATAAGGTCCTATTGTGTTCCTTTCCAGGCACTCGCCACTCCTCCAAGCCCTTTCTGACTTCCATTGCCATAGTTTTGTCTGTTCTTATACTTCATGTAAGTGGAATCATGCAGCATGTGTTTTGTCGAGAGTAGCTTATTTTGCTTAATAGAAGCTTTTGAGGTTCAGCCATACTGTTGCATGAGCCCATAGATGGGTCCTTTTGGTTTCGAGCACAAGGTCATTGTATGTACATGCCACAGTCTGTCCATTCTCCTGATGATGGGCTTTTGGGCTTTTTCCACCTTTTGACTATTATAAGATTGCCGTGAGCATTCTTGTACATGTTCTTTTGCAGTCATATGATGTACTTCAAAAAGTTCGTGGAAAGATTCATACTATGTTTTAATTCTGTTTTTCCATGAGCTTTTTTTTTTTTTTTTTTTCTTGAAAAGATGATTGGTAAGGGGATCTTAACCCTTGACTTGGTGTTGTCAGCACCACCCTCTCCCAAGTGAGCTATGGGCCGGCCCCTCCCATGAACATTTTGAAGTACCCTAATATACAGTAGTCCCCCGTTATCTGCAGTTTCGCTTTCTGTGGTTTCACTTAACTGCACTCAACCGTAGTCTGAAAATATTAAATGGAAGATACCAGAAATAAACAATCATAAGTTTTAAATTGTACACTGTTCTGAGTAGTGTAATGAAATCTTACACCATCTAGCCTGGGACATGAATCATCCTTTTGTCCCGCGTCTATACTACTGCCTGTTAGTCATTGATGTTGTCTGCCTCTGATGTCCAACCATTGACATCGTCATGGCTTGATGATCCAGGATCACCTGAAACAGATGATCCTCCTTCTGACGTATTGTCAGAAGGTCACTAGAAGCTTAATGCTACCACACAGCACCTAAGTCATTCACCTCACTTCATTTCATCTCTATGTTGATGTAAGTTGGTTTTGCTTTTTAGTTACAGAGCAACGAGGTTTAGAGCCAATTTCAATCATTCCTAATTATTACTTAATAAGAAATAATAAAATTGGGTTTCTGCTATTAAGTGGGAATATAAAGAAAACTCATGGTGTGAGTTTTATAAATTAAACTATTTTATAACTTTGGCCAAACACTCGTGCTTATCTTCAGGCTAGGAATTAGGCTAGGCTAATATTTGGAAAGGAGGTTCAATGAGGCATGCTAACTGGTATTGCAGTACAAAATTTGGGGTATTGTAATAGACACTAATTTATCCTGCATGTATTTTGGATAAAGAGTCTACTGGGTTGAAACTTCTAATAATATTTTTTCTCTAGTCCACTAAATATATTTTCATTTTCTACTTTAGCTGATGATTTGTTTCAAATCCCTTTGGGAATGAAGCAGGTCTTAACTGCTGTGTGAGCTAAGAGTCTGGCTAGAACCTTTGTCCGTATTATTTAGGGTCTTTTGATACGGAGGTGTTTTAGCTTCCTATTGCTGTGTAACAAATTACCACAAATTTAGCAGCTTAAAACAATCCAAATTTATTATCTCACAGTGTCTGTGGGTCAGGAGTCTGGATATAGGTTAGCTGAGTCCTCAGTCTCACTATATTGAAAATCTGTATATTGGCAGGGACTATGATCTCATTTGAGGCTCAGGGCCCTCTTTCAATCTCACTGGTTGTTGAAAGAATTAATTTCCTTGTAGTTACATGACTAAGGTCCCTGTTTTCTTACTAGCTGTCAGCCGGGGACCTCTCTCAGCTACTTGGAGCCACCCTCAGGTCCTTGCAATGTGGTTCCCTTCTCTCCTAACGTGGCTATTTGCTTTTCCAGGCGAGCAGGAAAGTCTCTGATGCTTCACCTGTTAAACAGCTTGCCTGATTAGGTCAGGCCCACGCATGTAGTATCATCTTTTTAAAAAAATTATATATATTTATGAGATACAGCATGATGTTTTGAAATGTTTATACATTGTGGAGTGACTACATCGAGCTAATTAATTTATACGTGTTTGAACCATCATTTGTGTCATTACCCTGAACTTTATCCTGGTTTCTGCCCTCTGAGGAAGGACAGCTTCTTCTTCTGGGATTAGAATCCTGTCCCAGGGGAGGGCTGGTGACAAAGCCAGGTGAACTGTGACTTCCCTGAGCCTCTGCCTGGACATTTTGCAGTGGGTTACCCAGTGCAATGCACTGGTATGCTTTATAGAGAGGCTGGCTTCCGCATAGTTAAAGTTCAGCCTTACTCCATCCAGAAGCTCCAAGTATCTGCTCCCTTCACTGATGGTCCTCGGCAGTGGGTGAAAAAAGCACTGGCTCCTGTCATAGAAAACCCTGAGATGTTCCAGCCCTGCCTCCATCACTCAGTCCAGCCGGGTGGCTTGTGAGGTGGAATGAACCCGGGTTTGGAGTCAGGACCACATATTTATGTTTCAAGAGTGACCTGGGCAAGTTGCATCACCTCTTTGGACCTCGGTTTCCTTTTCTTTTCCTCTTCCTTCTTCTTTCCTCAGATTAACCTCACTTCATTCCTGTAAGGTTAAGAGTAAGTGATCCAGCATGAGAAAGAGCTTTGGAACTTACATAGTATTTCATCATTTCTAAGATGCGCATTGTTTCTCATTCATATCTCTGAAGTCACGACATACCATATAATTAAAGGCACAATAGGGCCGGCCCGGTGGCGCACTGCTACAGTGCGCCGCTTGGGAGCTCGGCGGCACTCCCGCGGAGGGTTCAGATCCCACATACAGACCGGCCGCTCACTGGCTGAGCGAGGTGCGGGCACAGCACTGGGGGTTGCTATCCCGTTGCTGGTCCTGGTCCGGTGCGGGCGCGACACTGAGGGTTGCGATCTGTTGCCGGGCACGAAAAAAGACAAAAAAGGAAAAAAAAAAAAATAAAGGCACAATAATTGGCAGTTTTGTTTCTTATTGTAATGTAAAATAATTGGGAGTGTCACAGTGATGGCCGTAGTTAGTTTTATTTTTTTTTATTTTTTATTTTTTTGTCTTTTTTCCATGTCTGGCAACGGATCGCAACCCTCAGTGTTGCTCCCGTACCGGACCAGGGACCGGCAACGGGATTGCAAGCCTTGGTGTTGCTCTCGTGCCTCGCTCAGCCAGTGAGCGGGAGCCGGTCTGTATGTGGGATCCGAACCCTCGGACGGGAGTGCCGCCGCGCTTCCCAAGCGGCGCACTATCCAGTGCGCCACCGGGCCGGCCCCCATAGTTAGTTTTTGATCGCTGCGTTCTCATAGGTTATGGGTCATAGATTGACGGGAGAAACTTGAATCTCTCCTTTCCAAAGATTCTTCTTTAGAGTGAAAAGAGGTGGTAGCCAACACTGGCCTTGTCAAGGCCTCACTACTTGGATACTCACCTTTCATTTCATTTTGTAGCGACAGCTTGTTCATGCTCCTCCCCACGCAAAGTAGCAATTCCTTTTAGTCAGAGTTGTGCTGACTTAGCTTCAAACTATCTTCCACTGCCTAGGGTTGGATTGCTGGTGTTTGTAAGAAAGAATGAAACAGCCCTCCCCCACGACCTGCTGCTCTGTGAGCGGGAGCCTCACCATTCTGTGGCTCCTGCCACACTCGTCTTCCTGACAGCTCTTTTCCCTCTGCAGTCACTCAAGGCCATCCTTAGTGGTTCCTGGGGCAGGAGTCCCTTGGGTCTGCTCTTCCTGTCTTCTGGCCTGGGGTGGCCCCACATGATAATTTTCACATTCCCGACTCTGGCTTGTTTCTGTGAGTGTAGTCTTTGGGCTCAGTCCCCTGTCCCTTGACACA